CGAATGTGAATTTTGGACGGAATCGGATGAACGGTTTAGTCGCCATCGTTCAAAGACGGACCAACATGTTTTGCCTTCAATATTTCGGTATGAAGGACCCAGAAAAAATGGATTCTGGCATCACCACGTGTTAGAGGATTCCCCCCTTAATTGAGCAACAGTATTTATTTACTTTTTCGTTACCAGGGCTCGGCAATAAGAGTATTTCTGCCAAAAATTTGCAGTTTGTTTCCCGCAGCATTACAAAACTTTTACTACGTAAGCGGTGGCGAGAAAGTAATAATGTACGCGTTTCTTCATTTCTACGATTTGGATGTTACAGGAAAGTAACCTAAGTCATTGCGTTATTGGTTAATATCGATTAAACTATTTTTCTAAAAATATTCTTTAAAGTTATTGGATTTTGAAAAAATGGACATGACCAAATGAGATAGAAGATTTTTAAATTAAGGTAATTTAGTTTACAGTGTTTCCAAGGAAACCAATGGTGTAACTAAATTTTCATAATTTGTTTAAAATTGTCATGTATTCATTTACATTATTCTAAGGATTGACAAATTTACGAGTCTACCCTGGAGTCGCCTTCTCATCACATGTTCATGTCGGTTCATTTCTTCTTCGGCATACACGTTCATCCCTGCACGCTGTTTCTGCAGAGTATTTCGAGGATTTGGGACCGGATGCGAGAGACGTTGGGGAAACGAGGTGTGGAGAGCGGGATGAGTGTCAGTGTTGTGTGATAGCAGTGAACTTCTAAGTTTCCGTTGCTGTTTATTGTGTTACAGCCTCATTCCTCGCACTTAGCGCTCAGATCGCCCGCCGTAACCGTGCGAGGTGCTAGGGAGAACACAGAGTCGAAATCGTCATTTTTGAGAGGACGATTTGATGCTAAGTATGTTGACAAGAGTGCAACTTCGCCTTCCGCCGTGTTTACAAGAATCGCTGCCGCTTCAAGCTTCACGAGGCGAGGCAAAGCTGCCGGGCGATTGGGCAACGAGCGACGTACGACAACCGCTGCACCACCTCCGCGATGGCGAGCATCGCGGTCGATAGCCTTGTTATTTAGCTCCAGGTTTACGGGGCTAATGCGTTTTGTTGCCTGTATGTGATGTACATGATGCAGAGTAACTCGATAATGCGTTCATCTCCTGGGTCCGTGTGGCCGGAACGGCCGTTGACGTTCCAGGAAGCTACCGCGAGAGGGCCTCTTAGGCGCGGCGGTGTCATTGCGAGCAGCTCTCTCTTGAACGCCCTTGCGGACATTAGAGTTCGTCGCCGCCTTTGCCGCGCGCACTACTTGCGCAGGGTATTGTTTTGGTGAGTGCGCCACTTTCGCGAAAGTAGTACCTTGCGTGCCCGCTGTTGTTTTTGTGGCTTCGGCTTCGCATTTTTGCTCTGCTTCGGCTCAAAATATTTACTATTGGCTGCTAAGGCTATGTGAGTCTTGTAGCCAACGTATTTTGCAGTTATTAGCTCCGCAGTTACAGCAGACCGCAGGTTTGTTGTTGCTGCAATCCTTTGTCAGATGGCCTTCGCCGCAGTGACTACAGCGTGGGATGATCTCGTAATAGGCGCGCGTGTGCGACCAGCCGCACCACCTTTTGCAGAAAGGTGCCCTCTCAGTTCGCTACGCGACCTTGACGCGCACCTGTCAGTGACAGATCGCCTTCAAGGCAAACAGCCACTTGCCGTCGGTCACACTGGGTGAGGTTGATGAAGTAGGCACCTAACGGTACTAATTTACCGTTGAGGCACCTCTTCAGCTGGTGTACTGCAGGCTTTGGGTTTTCCCGGGCACTGCGCTGCGACGTCGTCAGCAAGTTCATCTGCTGACACTTGGTGAGGCGGGCTGCTCACATAGAGCTTAAGGATTCCTTACGTGCGTGCGTGAAGTGCAACGAGTTCAGCTTTTTCAGCGCGGCCGCAAACTTCACATGGTCGGTGGCGTTCCGCGCTCGCAGCGAGAATTCCCCGTAGTGCTTGCCCGTGACCGGGTGTTCGCATTTTTGCGTCTCGGTTTCGAAGCAGCGGCGAAAACTGCCGCCAGAAGGTACCGAGGCGTTCCCTACCGTGATGGGCGGGACGCGCTTGAAACGGTCGCAGGCTGCGAGGCCGGGAGGTGGCAGAGTCAGCGATTTCGCCCTGGCACTGCGGCGAGGGTGGATGAGGTGACACGGTGCCGGGAGGCGCGAGCTCAAGGATGACCTCCGGCTCGCTGTTTCCGACTAGCGGGGCCGTGACGGCGCCGGCTGCGGCGCTCTTGACGGGCAGAATGTCCACTTGCATTTCTGCCCCACTAGCAGGCAGAGATAGAATGCTCCCAGGTGGAATGCGTGAGGCCTGAAAGGCGGCGTTTTTCTGCATTGGCCGAAGGTGGCAGGGTCGGCGGGCAGTGGCAGACCGCAAGATGGGCTGGAGTAAAACTCCGCGAGTCCGTTCTTGACGGCAGCTTTTCTGAACTGCGTTTGTTCAGCAGGTATCAGCTGATATGCGAAGAGCGCGACCTGATCGGTCGTCACCTGGGCAAGGCATCTGTCCTCGTCGGCCTGCTTCAAGACTTAGAGGGCGTTAGCAATGCGCGAGGCTTTGCTTCCAGCTCTTTTTGCTGGCCCCTGGTCGAGAGGACCATGGTGCCTCGGTTTGAAAGCGCGCAGGACCGCTTCTGTCGAACGCCATAGCCGGTATCCACTACAGAAAATAGGAACGGCACTTCTTCCCTTTCCAAAGAAAGTAACCGCTCTAAAAAAAACAGAAGTTGTAAGTCTTAAAAAGAACTTCAAACGTTTAGTCCTGAAAAGGACTAGGGTTTTTGCTCAAGCCCTAAAAAGGGCTGATGTGTGCGAGCATTTTAAAAGCGCCGCTAGCGGGGGTTCAAAAAGTCCTGGGAGGGACTGTCGCAAATATTTCCAAATAAAAAAAAAAACTTTTGGAACTTATAAAATATTCAGCTCCCGGGAGAATATACTGGGAATTTTTTAAAGTCCGAAAACGAATTTTTGAACTTAGAAAACATTCAGCGGCGTCGTTCCGAAGATACGGCGGTAGGGTTCGGCAGATGCAGCACAGCACAACACAGGAGCTTCAATGTTCACCGGTCAGCCTCAGCAGTCAGAATGAATGACCACCCGACGCATGACGTCTTGTCGCACGTTCATACCATCGCCGATTGGGTGCAAAGCAATAATTGGAGTTCGGAGGGTGGACCCGACACCCAAAACGTCATCACATCGAATATATGACGAATTATCACCAGATGTGATTAGACCAAAATGATAGGATACCGAATCGGCCATTTTCACTACTACTACTACTACTATAAAGATGTAGGAACTGACTCAGATTTGTTCATGTAACCCTTACTCTTGTCAAACAGATTTGACCACCCGCTTCACTGAATCAAGTAATATTTGATGATCATAAAATTGTTGAGTGATAACGTGGGTACCACTTCAGCCAAAACTCCGTTGATAAAAATACCATTAAATAATATTTATTTTCTAAAAAGTAGCGAAACAAATATGGCTTAAGGGCGCATCAACAACTAGGACCAATGGCACCCATTTCAATTTATTTCAAGAACTGTATGTACTGTGAGTGCCAAACTGAAATATTTAAAAGCGAAGGAAAATGTTAAAAAACCGCCGAACATGAACACGTCCAAACGTAAAAAATGGCGTAAAGAAGATTAACACTTCAAATATCTCCCAAGTAAAAAGCCATAGTAATTGACATTATTCTCCTCGCAGATAAGGTTGTACATTTCACTTTCTCGCAAAAAGATGAAGAGCCTGGAGAGGATTCGTCGTAACCAAGAATCTAAGCCTGAAACAAACAGGTGATGCCCTCAGGTGATTTTTGTATTATTCCTACTATCGTGGAAGTCCAATAAATATGACTGCCCTGATATATTTATAAACACTTTTGTATTTGGACCAAAAAGTCTATAGTGAATAAAAAATAATGAAAAGATGGCACAAATATTATACAAAAAATGTTCTCAAAAATTTCATCTGTGATACTAGAAACATTTTTCTTCAATAGTTATTCAATTAGAGCCCTTAGAGTCATATTTGATGCCAAAATGAATTGTAATCAACACAGATATGACCATGAACAGGTCCTTTCAGCAACTTGATCTGATTAGGACTTATAAGGAGATGGGGGTGTTGGGTCTTGAGAGCATTATATCTTTCCTTAGATCACATCTTTTAGCTTCCACTATATGATCACCCTCTTTGTCCTACATAAAAACAAGCTTGAGAGTTCAGCATAAATTTTTCTGAAGCATATCATCCAGATTGGGCCTTCCTGATCCATATCTGAATCATAATTTTTGAACAATTTCATCTATGTTCAATATACCATCTCTGAAATCTCTCAGAACATATAACTATCTTATATTTAAACAATCTTATCTTATATTATAAACTTAATAATTGCGCCAATAGCCCATTGCTTCCCTAACTTACGTATAGAATTCCGGGCAAGGCCCTCAAGGCATTTTTGGCCTTTTCCATTGAGAACTTTTTCCCACAGCTACACATCAAACAATTTGGTTTTTAGAACCTGTAAAAATGTAAATGACCTGGATATCGATTAAATCCCAATTTACCACTTTCGTTAAGATTTTGAAAACGTCTTTTTTCAATTTCGAATAACATTATGCTGTTTGAAAGGATTCTCTATGAATTGTCTCCTGACCCATGTAATTACATCTACTATTATTCTTATTTTTATAATGTATTAACATTGTAAATTTGTGCGCCACCTTTATGCTTATACATTTTTATAAACATTTGTATTCGAACCAAGTCTGTATAGCGAATAGTGAATAATAAATAATAATAATAATAATAAAAGATGGCAGAACTATTATACAAAATCGGCTCCCAAAAAATCTTTGTAATACTAGAAACATATTTGAATACAGATTTTGCTAATTCAATACAATATATTTAATCATATAAATTTGTTTATTGCATGAAAATTTGAAAACAATTCCGTTTTCTAATTAATTTATCAAACTTTACAAAAATAGAATTGAAGCTGTTAAGAATAAACAGCTTAAAACAAATTTAGAAAGCATAAATATTTGAACTCAAAAGTAACTTTTGTATCAGAAACTGAATAATGAACTGGAGTAAACAGTACAGAACAAGAAATTTCCTAATTTTTTTTATACTATATAAATATTTGCGATTTTGAATTTTGCACACACAAGGAATTTCTTGATTATATCTATTTCCCAAATTATCACAATTGAAAATGAAATGTTTTCATGATGCAGATGAACTAAAGAAAAAGAAAATATTATGCTAGCAGAGATATTGTCATCCTACTAACACAATAAGCAAACAACTGAAACATGATGTACGTATGATATCCATGTGTATATACATAATTTTTACAATGAATGAATTTGAGAGGTTCTAAAATCAAAGAAAATGATGATTTAACATGATTTAAAAACATGAAATTTCTCAACTTTTCTTCACTGTAACAAATTTCATTTAGAACGCTAAAACTTCAGCTGGCTATGCTGGTTAATAATATAAACTATCAATAATAAGATATAAAAATGTAAATGAAAATACTTAATCTAATTCAATAATACAGAAGCACAAAACATGAGCATAGAATTAATAAAATACAAGCAATAACAAAATATTTTACAAACTAGTCTATTTTCAAAAATTGTAAAGTTGGAATTTATGCAAAACTTCAAATGGAATAAGATACACTGTACCATAAAATATTCAAGTTCTCTGGCACAATATTGTCTCAGGCCCCCATATATTCTTTGCATCTCTTAATTTATGAACATACTGTACATACCCTTCAATGCATCACACTACCTCTTTGTATACAAGAAAAATAATTATAATAAAAAATAATGGAACTGATGGTGGTTACAAAAGGTTAATAGGAGATTCGTAAAATTTGGCACTGACCTGTTTTGAATTTCACAAATGCAAATGTATTTCTTTTGATAAGTCAATGATTATCTGTATTAAAATGCACAGTATAGATTTACTAAGTACAAAGGTGCTACAGGTACTACATCATGATTGGTAGTTTAGATTTCTGAAGTGAATAATTATTCAAGATAATATTAAACAAGAATATGCGCCCAAAAAACAATTATCGCTTTATTCAAAGCTGAATAAGAAAAGAAATTAATGACAGTAAGGATTTGGTCAGAAAACAAATGCTATAATGAACAGACAATAGTCACGAGTTGAAGCAACAATTCTGAAACAAAGTCTCAAAACAACAAAGAATATTGGCTAAAAAAGTCAAAAGTGTCCTGCATAGTAAAAACTCTTTACAACAAATGCCAAATGCACCATGAAAAAACAAAAACTTCCAGATAGGAGTGAAGAGCAGTGACAGAGACAGACAAATTGTGGAAACATTTTGAGGAAAAAAAAAAAAGAGCAAAGGTTACTTTTACATTTAAGTATTCAGATAAAAAAGGAAATGTGGGATTTTACTCAAATAATAACTCAGCCCCTGAAGAGATAAAAGTAAATTATATTTGAAAATTCTCTTATGAGTAGCCTTTCTTCAGCTGGAATTTCAGTCATTGCCCTAACCAACAAACAAATATTGTTTGTAAATACAATTTGACTTACACAAAAACTGACACTTAGGGTACACAAAAAATCGGATCATGTATCATGTATTGAAAGAATTAATTAATTGGTGTTGTAACTTTCGGTTTCACACGTACAAGATTTAGTGCCAAATTTTAAGAATTGCAGTGATTTGATGTCATTACAACAACCAGGTTACATGCTAATAAGCACATTTTTTATACAGCCAGAACTTTTACCTACAATTTAGCAGCACATGTCAATAGGAAGATATTTTCATAACATCCTTCCTTATAATAGCAAAGTCTCATTCAGAAATTATTAATCCAGATTCACTTCTCTTGTATTTTAACATGGAAAAATCTCTTCAATTGCACATAATGTCCACGAGTCTAGGGGTAATGAGGTGTTGTAAGACATGTCTCAATAAGAATTCATTCAATCTTGTGCAGCTTCTCCTATCATGCCTAGTGGAATGCATCAATATGTTGAAGAAACTAGCAGATTTATAAAGAAAATTTTACACAAAAACAAACATTCCTTGAAAATTGTGTGACATTTCCAGATAATGTCAAACCCTCTGTTTACGTATTGGAGACCTGATTTTCTTTTTTGAATTTGTTGAATACCAAAACATTCTCCAGGTTAAAATAATGTATTAACAACAAATTGTGCAAAACAAAACAGGGAAGAATAATAGGTTTTCTTGCGATCTGTTGGTTATGAGTGAAGTGCAGCGTTCACTGGCTCATAAATGATCCCCATTCTTTGCACGTGGTCAGGCAGAAGAACAGGCCAAATGGTTTCAGCCTTGCCACCCATTAAACATTTCTTTCTTTCTTTCCTTTTTCTTTAACATGGAAGATACCAACTATGGATTTTACTCATTGCCACATGACAGTGCAATCATGTATATTTTTCCAGGTTTTACTTTTTGGTTTTGTGTGCATATTTGAGTATTCAAGATGTGAGGTTCAATTTAATGCAGCTATTGACAATTGTCTTGACAGAACTGACACCTGTTGGGCGGATGTTGAATCATCAACTTGTTCAGGTGGAAAGTCCCTTTGTGTGCAAGGAGCCTCACTGCTCAAACTGCAAAATATTCCAAAGGATTACTCCTTTGGAATATTTTCATGCCAGAAAACAACATTGGAAGTCATTTAGGGAGGCAGTTCAGAGTAGCTGCCTTATGAACACTATTTTTTATTGCATGTCCGTAATATTTTAGTACTGTTTTCATCAAACTAATGTCATTCACAAAACAGAGAACCACTCTCATCACTTCGTGGATCCTGTAACTGGGGTTCACACAAGCAATATTGAATTGTGTGCTATTTCTGTAATAAATACGCCAAAAATTTGTCTTTATCTCCGCTTCCTTAATGCATTTTCATCACTATGATCCTTGTCACCCTTTAGTATTTTGTTAGGAGGTAACCAAGGGGAAGGGGTGTCTTAGAAAAGTGAACATTACACTCTACTCATAACCAAAAGGTCACTAGAATCACTGTTTCTTGTATAGTATAATTTTACAGATTTCTTTTTAATGTTTACAAAATCATTCCCCGTTGTGTAAATTACATCCATAGGGGACCGTGACAGTTTCCTTCAGCTTCATACTGAAGATAATACACTGATTCCATTATTAATCTACATTTTCCAGAATGTTCTTGAATGTTTCACAATTTCCGTTTTATAACAAACTCCATTTATACATTTTGCATTTATACGTTTATTACATATATGTCCTGTTGTTTTAAGTCCTAGCTAAATTTCTATACCGCCATTGTTAAATTATTTCAGGAATTAATTTTACACCATTTGTTTTCTTGCTAGTATGTCCATAATAAAAGAACTGACAATATACCGGAATCAATGATTAGTAAGTGAGAATGATTACATCATCCTAGAGAAAGGAATCCGTGTTATGTCCAGTGTTCAGGTTGTTTAATTTTGTTGGTACACAAGGCATATTAGCCTTCCACTTAAACGTGATAGGAACAGTGGAGACTGAACAAAACCATAGGGTACAAGTATAATGATGCTAGTGCCCACTAATGTTCCACAATACTCTCTGATCCCTATGGCTTTGCATAATGTGTTGCCCGGAGCAGCTTTACGTAATCTTGGCCAACATTGCACAGCAAATATTAGGCCTATTTGTATGAAATATGGGAGAATCAAGTAATATGGGCAATTGTAACATTTTGAGAGCGAAATTTACACTGGAGACGCAGAGAAAAGCAAATGGTCTTATTGTAAGGTCAGACTCTTTCAAAAGTGGAACTTTTTTTTTCAAAATGTTATGCATTGAGAATATTATATCCATTTCTTTTTCTCACACAATAATACTGTCTAAATATTGAATTTTTATATTGCACTCAGATTTTTCTCATTCTCAATTCACGTTGTTCTCACTAATACATATTCCCCTTCAGTCCCCTGAAAAACGTATAAATGAAGTTTCACTGTAATTTGGTTTTTAGGATAGGGAGTATTTGTTATTGACCTAAACTTTGGGAAATTAATTCATGTCATCACTGTCTCTAGAACCAAACAATAATAATAATAATTATAAATGCTTAAATATTAAAATTATGTCATAGTACCAAAAACTGGATTATGACGACATATGCTAGGCCCATATTCTTCATAAGCAGCTTTAGTATGGCACACCTGGTAGAATTCAGGCTGAAACGAAATTCCATTTTTAGTAGACTTTTTTCATGAGTAGATTACTTTAAAATGCATGCAAATAAAATCAAAAATAAACATACAGTTGATGCTAGCATGCTTCCACCAAACCAAACAGCATATCGTTGCATATGATGAGAAATGACTTGTACATCAATTGGTTTGGGCTGCAAACAAAAACAATATCTCAGATATAAAATGTAAATACCAAGTATATCACAAATTCCACTTGCAATGTTTCAGTTATCTTATATAGTAAAACTTCACTTTCAATTCCTTAAATATTATCAGAAGGCATCAATTACATATTTCATGTATGCAGGGGCAATAATTCATCTAACAAAATGGACTTGAAACAAAATTGAAATTTGAAGTAATCCAGGTACATAGGTTTTGAAAGAGAATGTAATGAAATCATCTTACAAACACTAGTCAATAATGACCAAATTGCTGTGAAAAAAACAACTTACACTATGTATTGAAGTGAATAAATCTGCATAGTAATTTAAGCTAGCGTACAAAATAAAAAGGATATCTATTTTGAAACTGTGTTTCTTATAACTGATTAATTATTAAATTTGATTATTGAATGATATTGAAAATTTCATTGATCTCCAAAAATTGTACTATGTTCAACAAGCCTTCAGCGAGTGGTATTACAACAGTATGTGCTTTCTTGCATAATTTTTTTGGCTACATGGTATTATATTACTTGAACATGCAAAAATATTTCCAACACTCAAAAAAAAGTTTGCCCTTGCATGGTTTGGCATATGCCCTTGCATCTTTCATGATGCCTATTGTCTAATTAAAATTTCTGTGTTATTGCAGTAAGGATATGCGGTGTTACTACGAACTAGGTTCGCGGGCCCTTGGTTGCAGCAGCTCTGCTAACGCTGTGTTTGGGGTCTATCTTCCTAATCGCAACACATTTGTTTTACACATTGCAGAGCCCTGAACAGTGGATAAATAGTTGCTAAATTTAGAAAAAGTTCCTCTAACACTTGGTGTTAGAATCCAAGTTTTGTGGGTCCTTGATACACAAAAAGCGATTGCCAGCCAAACATCAGTCCATCTGGAAACATCACTAGCACCTACACCATACATACAATTTTTTCCAAAATGGGCACCTCCCAGTCGATGTGGCTCAATTTGAAGATTTGCAATTTTAAAAACCTTCTTTAAAACTTGGCGGTACTTTACATGAAACCCCTGTAACATTTTCAAAATTGTCTCAAACATTGCTCCAAATTTTTTCTTTTAATTTTTTAAAGAATAGAGTAAAATACAGTTTTAGAGATGGCATAGATCCGTTTTTCAGTGTTAACCCTGAATTTTCAGAAGTTTGTATCTTGTTCGGCTTATGCCTACTATTACAAAATTGAAGATGGAGATTTTTCCTTGAAGTAAAATTTTACCCAAGTTCTTTCGTTAATGTCCTGTATATTATTTTGAAGATTTTAGGAGTTTTCATGCAATATGTACAATATTAAAAAACAAAGAACAAGATTTTCTCAAAAATGACTCCAAGTGTTTTCTTTAAAATGTTGGTAGGGATATCGTTAAATGTACTCTGTAAGATGACATAAACGCCATTCTGCTCTATTCTCATGTTTTTTCAAACATTAAAAAAAAATGTTTAAAACTTGTTATTCACTTCGGTAATATTGTCATTAGCAGTGATTAGTTTAGATTCTTTAATTTATGGGTAAATGTGCTGTAAATTATTTCTTATGAGTTTCTCAAAAACAAAGTTTTCTGTGAAAATTAGCACAAAATTCCGCATTTTCAGAAATGCTCAAACGCCATCACGAAATCGACTCCAATTTTTTTCTTCAAACTTTTCATACAGATAGTGTTAGTGTCACTCTTTAAGGTGACACAAAAGATCACATGTAAGTATCTTAAAATTTGTGGTCACTTTGTAGGAACCACTTATTACTGTCTGTTTAGCATGCTTAAAAAATTAAAATGACACTTTCACTTTTACACCTAACTCTTCAATAACAGAGAAAACGTTTAATCTAGAATAGCACATTTTGATGATTTATCGATTTCCACATAGTGAGATTGGCTCTTTACACAGCACAAGTACAAGCTTTTAACCAGTGCGCGCAGCCACCTTCCAGGGAGCTGGTGATGCATAATGTGACAATGTAATATAATGTCTAAAGTAAAGTGGTCTCCAAAATTTGTTAATCGATGTCTAGAAGTGTCTCCGGATATAAACTTTCTTTGATTAACCAAAATTTTGAGTTATCAAAAACGTTCTTTTAAATACTGCTGCAAGAATGCAAAATTGCTTCGAATCAATAAAATTGTGTTATCAACATTTGTTTTTCAATTTTGTCTGTATATTTAAATCTAATTTTTCAATGGTGGGATCAATAAAAAGTATTTTTGTATTTTGAAAATACAAAATACCATCAGAATGTATTTTTAATACCAATACAAAATACATGTTCAAATATGTATTTTAAATACAAGTATTTTCTATATTGTCCAACTCTAACGACCTTCTGCCACTCAGTTTCACTGTGAAAACAAAGGCTGTACTCTGTGTGGGCTACAACTGGTGGCAGCGATGCACAACTGCTTGCTTCAGTTTTGAGCTTGGTGTTACTTGATATTTGCAAAGGGACAAAGCACATTGAGTTGTATGTAAGCGACACGAAACATGCGACTACCACAGCTGGCAATATCCACCATGCAGTGTGGAAAAGCGATGAGATTCATTTGCTGCTTGTGCCATCCCACTACCAAACGCATCACTTATGTTATTAGGCTAGTTTCTTTGGAGAGTGGGATGGTGTTCCAACAATGCAAGAGGTATTGAAGTGTGTCGAGATTGCATTTCGAAACTTAGACACAGAAGATAATGCTGAATCAAGTATGGAGAGAACTCTGGAGAAGGATTAGAGAAATTACAAATGAGAAAGTACAAAGCAACTATTGAAAATTATAGATTTTTGACTACAAATAAAGATATTGAAATTTTCAGTTCATGTTAATGTATTAATGCTGTATCTCTGTATTAATAAAATCAATCATTATAGAGAAATTATATTTCATTTCGACATCATCGGATATATTGAACCAAAAACATTCAGTCCCCAGAAGTTCATTATAACTTGAGTTCACAACATCTTACTGTACATAATTCTTTCCTGTACCTCTTGTCTAATAAATAATAAACTTTTCTATTTGTAAATTCATTAGAAAGTATTGTAGATTCTGCAATAGGGGTAATGTAATACAAATATAAAAGGGGTTCTTATGAATCAATTTCTTTTACAATAACAAAATTTCATTAAAATAAACTGTCAAGATTCCCACAAGTTTTCACTGGTATTTTACTGTACTAGCTTGTAAATCAAGAAAAAATGAATCCACTGTACGTTTCATTACAAATTCACCAATCTAGTTAGCAAAGAATTCTTCAAGTGTCTCATTGAAGACCAATTCTTGCATGTAAGAGAGCAGTGAATTTCATGTACTTGAGGTTATCTTCTCTGATAACTCGACTTCAGTGAATAAACTTCAATGAAATACTCTAACATCAAAAGTTGTTTCAATCAATGATTTCACAGTAGCTCGTCATTATAAAGTTGACAACTCACGTGTCAGAAAATGCAAGGAAAAAGAACCGAACAAAACCAACCTTAATTCTACCACCACTCAGTGTCTCACTGAGCTTCAACCGAGAATCCACAGTTCTTTTAATATCCCTTTGAAGTCTTCGTCCAAAGTCCCGAAACATAGTTGATCCTCCAGACAGAACTATATTATTGTATAAAGGTCTCCGAACATCAATTGGACAATTCTGAATAACAGTATCCACTATCTCTGAAAGGGGAGTGGTAAAGTCTGGATTTGAAAACTGTGAATGAAAACAACAATTATAATTATGCATAAGAAAAGTAAAATGAATAACATACAAACATGAACATTTGAATTTTGTACACACCTCAGGATGAAAAAAAATTTCTGGCCCAAGAAAACGTTCATATCCAACTTCAACAACAAATGGACTTTTTGTAACAGAATTAATTCCTTCATGCTTTTTGATCCATTTAGAAGAATCACCATCATATTTGGCAAACTCTTTGGCTATATCAGGGCAAATATAACAAAACTTTTCTTTGATTGTTTTTGCAGTTTCCAAAGATTGCTCTGGTGGAATTCCAATTTCACGTTCTCTAAGAAGCGACTGAATAAAATATGTGATATTGCGTCCAGCAATTGGAATATGCTTTATACAACTTCCAATCACATACCCCTCAGCCTAAAACAAATTAACAAGTAAAAAAAATATTCAAACGAATTGGGATGGAAAATAGTATTTATTAACATTTCCTTTATCAGGTCATTCACAAAATAATATTAAACAATCTTGGATTATTTCAATTTTTCAATGAAATTAACCAGTGACAAACATTTTCATTTATGGAAGAAGATTACAAGAACATGAATCCATACAAACAAAAAACACTTAAATGAAAGATTTCATAAGCAAAGTTTCTTACCACAGGAATAACATGAGTGACTCCATCACCGCTATCAACCACAATTCCTGTTAAAGTTCTTTCAACTACAGACCTTGAAGCCCAAGATGCTGCTAAAGCCAATACAGCTTGAACAGCAATATAAAGACCAGGAACATTGAAAGATTCAAACATAATTTCTGTGGAAAAAGAAAAATCTTATCTCCTGCACTTATGCTCTAATTGGTGATGTAAAAAGGGTTATGGATTCTGAAAATGACTACATGCAATTTGACAAATAGGAGAAAGCAAAAACCAAAAAACGATAATTTGACATTTCCTTCTACCATACCATAAATACACTAGAATGACATAACACTGAAGGTTCAATACATTCCTTCATCTACAAGCAAGATTTCTAATCAATAGAATATCGATGAAATACACACCATCTCTTTGTAGTAAATTTTAAGATTTATTAGAGATTCCTTTAGCTGTACTTCAGTCATTCAGTGCTGACAATAGATGAAGTAAACATGAACTTTTCCTTTTTATGAAAATATTTCTTCACTGATTCAAGAATCATATAGGAGACAAATCTTATGAATTAAATTTTGCTTTCTCTAGGAATAAGAAACCTCACTACATTATGATGTGAAAATTAAGTTCAGTTCCTCAACTTTTGCTTGTCTTTAAGCCAACTTTTTCAAATTTCTTTAGCCTTTGTTATGCAAGTTAATTGTTTTGCACATTCGTGTAAAATAAACCATAAGCAACATTTTCAAAAATCTAGAATTTTCTGAAGAAATTATGGATTTGGAGACATTTTAATAAAAGACATAATAAAAATGTTTCAAATAATACAATTTGTAAGTGATATTTAGTAAAAGTCACAAGAAATTTACTTCCAAAACAAACTTCCAAATTTTGTTACCGGGAACTCAGAAATACTTGATACTAACTGAAAAATTACATATAAGCACGTTTTAAGAGAAGAAATAGTTTCCTTGAACATCAGCTATTACATATCAAGTATTTGTCATTTCAGAGGTAATTGCATAATTCTCTTTCCCATGAAACAAGTAGGTACTATTATTACAATCTGATAATATAGTTTTATGGTTTTACTGGTTGATCCAATGATTTAGTGATTTTTTATCCAAACAATTGTTGGACAAAACATACAGAATTATGATAAAATCAAAAAGTATTAAACAATGAAAAGTTGTAATTTAATCAACAAGTCCATGACTGAAATACAACGGATAATATAAGCATTATATTTTTGCTTCATCATTTTTTCACTTGCATTCAGATGCAATTTTACCGATTAAAAATATCAATAATACAGGGCAAGGGATAGCAGAGAAATACCTTATTTAAATACATGAAAAATTGATCTTTTTGATATCTGACCTGCAGTATATTCTCGATTTTCTGGTGTGTTAAGTGGGGGTTCAGTGAGAAGAAAATAATGGTCTTCTGGTTCAGCTCGAAGGTACTTGAATATACACTGTTCCAAAAATCTCTCCATTAAGTCCCAGTCTTCCACTAATCCATGACGAACAGGATACTAAAAACAATACATAAGAAAACTTACACCACATTTTCCAATGAACAAACACACTCTTCAGACATAATACAGTTCATCATTTCAATGTTCAAAAATACAATGTATCATTCAAGAATATTACATTTTTAATTTACAAATGTTTAAGACTCAAATATCTCAAACTGTATGAAAGAAAACAGGAAAAGCAGTCCCTAATTTTTTATCAATGAACAAGCAAGATCTTTGATTTTACAATAGAAACCTGATGTGTAATGTTTAAAATGTGACATATCCCAGGGAATGTTGAAAATTCTTGTACATTCCTAGTCACCCATTTTTGGCACATCTCATTAATACAGAGACAAGTTTTACACATTAGACTCTTTTAGTTCAAGTCTAATTTAAAGGAATGTCCAAACCAAATAATTTCAGAGTACTTTGATGTATTGTTATGAAACATTCAATGTCTAAACTACCTTCATGTTTGCACACTTATCTAATTCCATATTTGAAACTACACTTAAAGATCAGCAGTTCCAATTTGAATTACTTCAAGCAACTTGGTGAAATATCTCAATTTATGGACTTTTGGTGTTGTTTGGTTCTTGTAAGAAACACCTCAATTCAATTGGACACTTATCAGCAATGATAGGAATGAACGTATCTCTGACAACAGAAACAAAAATTGCAGAAGTTTGGTTTTTGTCCACTCCAATCAAATCATGGCTTTATATATTTATATCACAAAGAAATGATAGCAAGAATTATGTCAACCTCACTTCTCACACATAACTTGCATGTAGTAAAAGAATGCAGAATTTTTTGTCCTTTAATTCATTATATTCAAATTCTTCTCATCAGTCAGCTTCACAAACTAAAATAACACAATACAAAAACAATACAACTGTATTACATTTGTAACTCACCATTTTTAAACACACACACACGAAATTAACCTTAATATTTTTGCTTTGAATTTTTTTAAAACAATAAAGAAATAACTTTCTGCAGTTCCTTCACCAATAATAAACATCTTTAACTTTAAACAATGCTGCTGTTATCAATTAAAACATTTCTTCTCTCAACCCACAAAAAAGTTGTGATAAAAAAGAAACAAGAAATAATTATAAAAAATTGGGAAAACTTAAAATTTGATGTAAACTAAAAACTAACCAAGAAAGTGATTTAAGACAACTTGTCAAGCGATCTACAATAGGGTAAATGACTTAGGACACATCCAAATATTTTGAATTAGGAAAAATACTTCAAAACTGACTTGACACTGGTAAATGGAAAGGAATTTGGTATTTCATTAGAAATGGCATATTTCAGGAATATCTTGAACGGAACTAATCACTCACAAGTGGGTAGCAGATGTAAGGGAAGTTCAGGCACAGGCCCAATTAAACAGGATATAAGCATTAAGACATCACCTTCTATCATTCTAAGATAACTCCAAAGCTATCTAGACACCTGAAAAGCACACAGAAAAAAAGAGCGGACAATAACATGAGTAAACATGTACACATCACGAAAATTGGAGCGAGAAAAATTAGAACGATAATTGTCCCAGTGTAAAGAAACGGTTAGGTTTGGAGATCAGTTATATGAAGGAAGTTGTTCTGTCCTCTTTATTTTAAAATGTTGACACACAAAAAATAGAAACGTAACGAGTAATTTATCCACCAGTTACATTATTAACTTCTTATTTACTCACTTTAACTGCATAACCAGTGGCTTCAAATGCTTCATCGCCAATATAAAAATCAAGATCTTCCACTCCTTTTGTCAGTCGTCTAATAGCCTGGTCACCAACTTTGGCACATTCTTTAATAGCAATTGCGGAAGGAATAATAAACTGAGGCTCTTTATTTGCGGCGAAGCCTAGTTTAGTATACCTGTACATAAAAACAAATCCGGGATGAACAAAATCAAATATCGAAGCGTAAACATGCCGCCCCGCAAAAAAGAAATTATATTTGACAAACATACCCGGTCCCCACATCAATAACACACGCAGGTAATCTTCCAGCCATTCTCGTCCCTCTCCCGTCTCTTCTTGTCTAAGCTAGAATCAACTTTTTTTATTACGATCAAACACACGACATCGAACCACACCTACAGCAAATGATTCGTCCGTATATGCCACGCGAATCCAAGCATAGGCGCGGCACACCGCAAGACAGCACTATACAGAGATACGATACCCAGGCCTGACGCAGTTATACCAGGGCTACCACACCACATCATGCAACAGATTTCCCAAAGATTAATGTATCATATACATCATTGAGATGTCCAGAACACGTAACTTATAGACCTGAGCGCAGAAGCGTCGCCTTTGGGTGGCAGGGGGCAGATGCTGGATGCAGCAAACTAATGGTTAAATTTGGTTAAAAAATTTGGAGCATTTTTAAGAAAATGGCGTTAAGAAAATAGCGCTTAACGCTACTGTAAATTCGAAATTTGAAGTTCTGTTTCACAAAATAATTTTGAGTTTTCGAAAAACTTCATTAGAAGTCGTTTGAAGCACTTTTACTTACAAATACAACAATGTTTACAAATTACTGGAAATGTGTATATTAACGGAGTGAAATATCTTTCAAATAAATTACATTTGTGTAATTTTTGAAGAAAAAACAACTCCAAAATGAACTTTACGTCATATTAAAGACTGAAATTAGCATTATCCGTTCGAAAAGTTTACAGAAAACATTTGGAGCTGTTTTTGAGAAAATGGCGTTTCAGCGTTTCTGAAAATATGGGAATTTTGAGCTAGTTTTATCAGAAAATGGTTGAGTTTTCGAGAAACTTTGTATGACATTATTTAAAGCAAATGTACTCATAAACACAATAATGTTAATAAATTGCCACTAATATGAATATTTACGACGTGAGAGACAAGTAAAAATAATTACATTTTTGTAATTTTTGAAAAAACAAAAGAATAGAGCAATATGACATTAATGTCAACTTATTTTTACATTTAGCACTGTTCCTACCAAACGTTTAAAGAAAGAATTTGGAGCCGTTTTCGAGAAAAATAAGGTTTTTTAATTGTTTAAAATTGCACATATTGCTCGCAATATTGCGCGAAAACTACTAAAATTTTCAAACAACTTACATAACTTTAATGAAAGAATTCACTATGGAGAACAAATTATATTTGACGGAAAAAATCTATATCTTCAATTTTGTAGTTATAGGAAGACACCCGAAAATCTTTTAAAATTTTATATTTTCGAAATTTCTGAGTTAACCCTGGAAATCGGACATATGCCAAGTGTATTTTACTATATTTTTACAAGAAAATTAAATAAAAAATTTGGTGCCGTTTTGAAAATGTCCGGGGGACTTCATGTAAGGTACTCCCAAATTTTGAAGAAAGTTTTCGCAAAAATCGCAGCGCCTCGAGTTCAGCCACTTTAACGGGGCAATATCAATTTTGGAAAAAAATACTATGTGTGGTTTAGGCGCCAGAGGTGTTCACAGAGGGACCCACGCTTTTGGAAGAAAAAAAAAACTCTTTCGGTATCGCGGGCCCCCAAAACGTGTTACTTCCGTTGTAACCTCGAAACCGATTTTCCCGCAGCATTACGTAACTTTCCCTATGGTATGAATATTATTATTATTATTATTATTATTATTATTATTATTATTATTATTATTATTATTATTATTATTATTATTAATTATAAGATCTCTTCAAAAGCAAGGGCCTCCTAACGTTTTGCAGCCAATGCAGAATGCAGTGATAGCGTAATGGTGAGAGGTGAAAGGACTAGGATGATGGTGGGAAGTGGCAGGTGGGGTAGCGGAAATGGCTCGTGAGCTTTTTTTGAATCATCCCAGCATTCGCCTGTATGGCCGAGAGAAATCACGAAAAACAGCGGTTAGGTTGGGCGGTCCGGAATCGAACCACGAACATCCTGATTGCCAAGTTAGCGCTCGAAGCAACGAGCCATTTCGCTCAGTTTACGTACCTGTATATACTGTATTCCAGGTATATAGTACTTTCGTTAACGGGAAAGTAAAAACGTGAGTTTCCACTCGTGTAATTGATATATTGATTCTGTTTTTACACTGAGATATGCTGAAGAATAAACTGTCTAAACAAGAATTGAGAATTTTTAAATTTGATGTCTAAAAAAATGTTAAAAAAATAAAGAAGGAAGAGCAATGTTCGGACTTTGGATAGTTCGTAAATAATTTTTAATCAGTTTTAATTGTGAAAAATTTCTGTCGGCTCAGGCGACTGCGACAGAAAATGTCAAATATTATGTCACTGCTGTACACTGCGGAAAATTTGTTAATAATGACCAATATTCAATTATTAATAAGTTTGCGAGATCTTCAACAGATCTTAGTTTTGAATTATAAGTCTTCAAGCAAAAAAGTCTTTAAAATTCGCAAGACAATAATTGAGACAAGTTTTCCGTAACATCTGTATGGTATTTTGATTGAGGTTTTTGTGCCTCGTCATAAATTTCGTCCAAAAAAGATATTTAGGATAATTTTATTGCATCATTTTTAAATCCCAATAGTGATTCTGAACAGTCTTAAAATCTTCATCGAATAAATCTTATGACGTTTGCAAATCCAAAGCAAGGCTTTAAAGGTATTACGAAACAGTGTTAGTTGACGTTCATATTTTGGAATGCACTACATGGAAAACCAACGCAAAATTTTCAATTTATTTTTTCAAGTTAAAGGCTTCATTTGCTTCAGACCTTTTGTTAGAAATTTAAATTATTTTTAAAGCTTGCAAAATATTAAAATATCAATATATTTTAATTGTTAAGGAAACTTTCCGTGATGATCATTTTGTAGGAAAAAGTCATTTTCAGGTAATAATATTTCGCTCTTAATCTAAATAATGGTTAATATGTTTCGCTATGCTATGACCAAAGAAAATAGACCTCCTTTCCATCAAATGCTAAAATGTCTGGGAACGGGAATGGGGCTTCTAATATCACATTCACTATCATAGGGATAGCTCAAGATTTAAATTATGAGCAGCACAATGAACAAACAATTCTTTGTCAACATTTAATTAAATAATTAATAAAAGTAATAAATAAAACGGAAGAAAAAGAACAATTTTTTTATGTTTCTGATGCATAGTTTGGAAAAATAAAATCCTGGAGTCTTATTAAACTACAAATTTATACATCCCAAGAAGCAGCGACGCTTCCTTTTAATTAAATATTAACTTTTCCTATTTCTCACTTATTTTTAATCATACAAGCGTACCCGTGCGAGAACTCTCGTATGTTATTTTGATTTTTTCCTTTCCCTATCCATTTCCCTATCGTTTCCGTTAAGAAGAAAAGTTGTTAATGGAACGTGTTTATTTGTTAAAAAAAGTATAAATGTAACTTCTAATGCACTTACAGAATAGTAAACAAAAATAAAAATAATGTAAATGATGTTGGAAACAAATTTTCAATAAAGGTATATTCAGTATTATAGAGAGGTGTTCTTGGAACTATTCACACTTCCTCAAAAACATTTGAAGGAATTATTTAATCTTTTATGACAGCTTTTCACTTTCCTTGATCGTCACAAAAATATTAGAAAACGCTTTTACTCTTGAAAAAGCCAATTAAAGTTGTCCAAGCGAATATACAGGATCGGGCAAGTACAACCCTACTCTTTGCAATATTACTTAAGTTTCCTGGATTTGTTATGAGGAACAGAAAGGGTTTTGGAGGGGCAGGACTCCATCTTTCTGGGGTGCGAAAATTGTAACACTATTTCTACACTAAAAAGTATTGGTTTATTTTCTGCGTTCTTACGTACCTCAAGAAAAGCAATTTGGAGCCAAAAAATAATAAAAATAATACTTTTTCCTTTTTTAGTATAAATACCATTTGTTACCATTAGAAACAATTCAGAAGGCTTCACTTCGGTACGTGCAAATGTTGCTCAAACGGTGTTTATATATTGAATATCTTAGAGAACAGACACCGTAAGTTTACAATAAACGATGCTTTCACTGAGTTTACAGATGAGCACTGATGTAAAGATTTGCAGATACCGCCAATCTTTAAATCGTGCGTCTGGATTGTGATAGTTGGCAGTTGCCGAGTGACTTGCGCTATTCTTTCAATAATTTTAAATGGTTATTTTTGAAAGTAATTCACGTAATATTGTAGGATAGTGCGTTTTATTTTTGTTGTTCATTTATTTCAAGCTATTATACTTCGGTTAATTTAAAAATTTTCATGCTCGTTTTCCCATCATTTCTGAGAGAGAGGCATTTATAATTTCAAACATTTCAATATTTTTTGCACTCTTAACTACACAATATTCAAACATTCTGACTGACGTAGAAAGTATTAAACGACTTTTTTCTGCTATAGTTCGCCTGAGGAGCATCCCTCATAATGGTCCAACAAGAATCGGCAGCATAGTAAGTTTCCATTTGCTTTGATATTTTTTTCCATAGCAAAAATCTGATGAAAGTGTTCCCCGTGTTAATCACTCTCCGTGGCAAAATTTTATGGGAAGAAATATAGATGCGAGTGCAGGAACTGTATATATATATAATACATATATATATATATATATATATATATATATATATATATATATATATATATGTGTGTGTGTGTGTGTGTGTGTGTGTGTGTTGTTACGCCCCCACGCAGTCCCGGCGACGTGGGATCGTCGGAAACGCGCGGTAGCGGTCGGTCCTAGTTCCGTTGGTGTCTCCTACCGTTTGCTATCTTAACACTTGGTGATAGAAGGAATTACAAGATAAATTCATTGAATTGCACATAAAAAACAATCTGGTCACTGGTAAAGAAAAACAACAACATTTATTAGTTACACTGAGAAACAAGAAAGATTGTGAATAAATGAAAAATTAGAAAGAAATTACAACTAAAGAAGAAGTGATACATAAACATTATCCTACAACTAAGATTACAAGTTTGTCCTAGTGAGGGCTTTTCTGTGCCTCAACGCGGCACCGCGTTGAAAATTGTCTTTAAGGGTTTTTTTGGCCCTGATTATTTTGCCTGGGGTACCTTCCGTGGCAGATGTGCTGCAGTGGGCCCGTGCGGGGGCGGCGGAGCTTATAGATGGCTGGGATGGCCTTCCCAGGAATGCAGTTGTGCGGGTGCTTCCACCAGAGGGGCGTTGGCGGCGGCTGGCGGCGTCTGCGCGGGCAATGACCGCGCAGGGTGGTGACGTCAGCGAGGATCGGCTCTCGATCACAGGTGCGGTGCACACAAAATTGTTTCCCGCTGTGTCTGCGATTTCTCTCGATTAAATTTCAGAGAGTGCGAATTTTGAAGCGAATAAGCAGTGGCAAAGATTCGCAAATCCCCCCGTAAG